TGCCCCGTATGGTTGCATTACAGTTGATATGTGGACACTTGTATTTTTTCACATCTGAAAAATAACTGTTATCATATTTGTGTTTATATCTAATTTTTCTATTACTCAATCAGGTAAATTAATTGACCCAATTTGAAAATTGATCACGAAAATATTAAGGTCATTAAATAAACTTATCACATCCTATTTTGATTAACTTAGATCACAAGACTCTTTTAACTCGTTTTTGTGCATATTTCAAATAGAAATATTGATGTTAATGTTACCTATTATGTTACTCATAATCGAAGAATGGTTGAATGCGATAAGACGAAATCAGTTTCGGTCATCAATTTTTTATTGTTATTACCAAATAACACCCAAAAATTTATTGTCAAAAAAAATATGTTCTACTACTTCCTGTTTATAATTTCTTAGTTGAACACTATTCTAAAATACCATGTTAAATATTTGAAAGCGTATGAAATTAAAAAAATGACACACTTCTGAAACTCTTAAAACTATTGTTTAGATCACTTAATTAACATATTCGGCACTAAATTACACGAACAGCAAATTATATTTGTTACCTATTAATGTTACCTACAATAGCAGAATAGCTGACTGTGATAAGACGAAATCAGTTTAGGTCTTCAATTTATTATTATTATTAATATTTACTATTATTTTAATTTATTATTACTATTACCAAATAGTACCCAATGGAAGTCACCTGGAATATTTTGAACTGAAGTGATGCATAGCAGAAGATTGAACCAAATGATGTATGCCATTGATATAGTGAAGAACAAGGCGAAGTACAGAATATTTGAAATGGCAAAAAAGCTCGAATGGAAGCTTTTTATTTCAGATTGTTGGAATTAAACGACCAAAGTTTCAAACAGTTTTTAATTCATGCGTTTCACATTGTTTTTTATATTCATCACTCTTCCATTATCATTTTCCGATCTTTGAACCGGCAGTTGATGAATTCGGTTTTGGACTATTCAGAGAATGTGATGATTTGCATAAACTGAAACTGGCTAAAGGCATTGTTTCGACTACACAGAGAGCGTAAAGATTTGCATAAATTAAAACTGGCGGATTATTCGTATTAAATGTCATTGGTTAAAGGAATATTTAATCCATAGGTGCAGTATTGAATAACTCTGTTTGCATTTTGTAGTATTGTTATGTAAATTTCCGGTTTTTCGTTTTTGTGGCATTAGTCAATTGTTAATGCAAACATTTTGGGACATATTGGGCTATTTTCGAATTGTATTCTTAAGCATTATTAAAATCTTTATTATTTTGTATTTTTTTCTAATCTTGCAATTAGATGTCCTGTTCTTCCTCTATTCAAGTCTCTATTGGTTATGTGTGGCAAATGTTATATTATCACAAATGACACAATTTGTGATAATAATATATTTTGGAGTTTGCGTACTGAAATACATAATAAATGAGTAATATGAATGATAAATGAGTAACGAATAAATGAATAAATGAATAAATGATAAAT